AATTTTTTTTTATAATTATAGTAATAATAATAATAGTTATTATTATTAGTTCTAAATCGCGGTTGTAACTCTTAGTACGTAACCGTCAATCCAACCGATCACGTGTTAAGGTCGAACCCAAATCTAGAATACCGGGGTGTTACAAGGCTTCTCTTTTGTCTCGCTTGGGGAAGGGGGGATTGATTATGGATTTGCTAGGAAATATTTTGTCCGCCACTGTTCACTTGTTGCCGATGGGGATGATGACTCGATGAGATTAAGTGAATCAGAAATCGGCCAGGTTATTTCCGACTATGTGATTATTAAATATTTAAATTCATACCGGCCAGGTTAATTCCGGCTACTGTTGCCGGCGGGAAAGGGCGTCGGAAGGTATGCAGGTAGGTGAACTGAAATAATTAAAATAATTAATAGATAAATTTTATTAATTATTTGCTGACTAAGCAACTTAGTTGGAAGCCAAGTCAGCGCTCTGTTAAGTTTTTGGATGAGAATAGACGGAAATGACTATTTCGTTACAAGTACAAAGTTGTGTTACCGAATCGTGCAAAATGAAAGGTTTATGACCGTTTTGTACAAAGTGTATAGGTTTGTGACTATTTTTGATAACTACCCGAGAGAACTATGTAATTATATATACGAATCTGGTAAGTATACACATTACTAATTATTGTTACTAATTCCATTCATTTAGTAAGAACGTCGGATAGAATAACAAACCTCACAAAGCATACCACAATTATCTCGAAAGCATACTAGAAACCTCCTAATGCATACTATAAATTGTCTAAAATATACCAGAAACACGGTAAAACAAACCAGAAATATTTCTAAAGCACACCAGAAACCCCCTAATACAAACCACAAACACGATAAAACAAACCAAAAACGTCCTAATGTACACCACAAATATATCAAAACAAACCAGAAACCTCGCAAACCAAACCACAAAAGTTTCGAAAGCACACCAGAAACTTCGTAATGCAAACCAGAAACCTCCTAATGCATACCACAAATCTCCTAAAACAAACCACAAACCTCACAAAGCAAACCACAACATTTGCGAAAGCACACCAGAAACCTCCTAATGCAAACCACAAACACGTTAACGCAAACCAAAAAAGCAAACCATAAACGTCCTAATGCAAACCACAAATATATTAAAACAAACCAGAAACCTCACAATGCAAACCACAAAGTTTTTGAAAACAAACCAGAAACTTCTCAATGCAAACCACAAACACAATAAAACAAACCATAAAAGGCATAAAAAAAATGAGAAACCAAACCATAAATCTCACAATGCAGACCATAACATCCGGTGGTCGTTGACCGTTGACCGGTCAACGAAGACCGTTGACCGAACTCCGGTGACCGTCAGTGAGCAGATTCCGACGCCGATAGGCATATTCCGGCCCCGGTGACTAGATTCCGACGCCGGTAAGCATATTCCGACTCCGGTAAGCATATTCCGGCGACAAAAAGCATATTCCGGTGACCGGCGCCCATTTTCCGGCGACCGGTGGCAGAATTCCGACGACCAAATTTTTGGACAGAAAATAAAAAATTTTATTTTTTTTTATTTTTTATTTAAATAGATTTTTCATAATGACAATTATACCCCTGTTTTGATTTTACACTAGGTCAACTCATTTAATAAAAAATCATCACAATCCTAGCTTCCTATTGGTTGGGGACTAGTGTTGTTACAATAACAACACAATGGGTGTTGTTACAATAACCGGTCCCTTTATTCATTTCATTTTTTTCATTCAATTCGTTGCTAATTAATTTATTTCATAGATTTTTTGAATACTGCATTTTAATCTCCAAAATAATTACAATAAATATATTTTATAATTGGAGTCACATGTTTATCTACGGAGACAATCTTAATAGTTGGTATTTGAATTATCATCGTCGACACATTTCATATTTATTGTGAAAGATTTTATTTTATATAAATTAATTTTAAGAAGCAATATTCGCTCTTATTTTAGCCTCTAAAAATATTTATATAGCAGCAAATAATTTTCTGCCTCCAAAAGTTATAAATATGAATATAATAATGAAATTCATTTTCTATAGATAAGGGCGCAAAACTTTACGTGACGGTTAGAACAAATGTGCCGCTATATGTATTATTTCAATTAATTTAAAGCTAATATCAAAATAATAAGAGTTTTTGAGGCACATAATTATATTTTTTGAGGCAAAAAATATAATAGTCTCGTATAACATATTTTAGGAAGCAATTATTTTATGTGCCGCAAATTTCTGCCGCTAAAAACCATTTTTCTTGTAGTGTGCCCTAGCCGAAATACTTAAAGGTAAAAAAACCTAACCCTAACTCTCCTAATCACTTGCTATGTGGAGAGTGGGTAATTACAAAGTGACCCCCAAATTATTAAACAATAAATTAGAGATCGCCACAGCCTAAACTCTAGATGTAGCTTAGAATTATTTCTCTCATCTATATGTTGATTATTAGGTTGCATAGTGAGTTTTGAATGAATATGCTTAGGTTTCCAGGTTGCAAGTGTAAAGAAGAAGGCATTTCCCCAGTTCGCGTGCAAAGTAACCAAATTACAAACGGGAATTTCCTAGTCGTTTTGCAGATCGCGGGACACGACAAATAACCCTAATGGGATCCTTGATCCCTTGGCACAACAGCCAGAAGCGCCAGAAGCACCATTGTTTCAGATTGCGGCCACAACTTCTTTTTCACAACCATGAACTCTCATGCTCAAAAGCTAGAAGCACCATTGTTTCAAGATCACCAGCCACTTTGAAAAATCACGACAATAAACTTATTTTTTTAGGAAGATAATTTTTTTTTGGATTTTTTGACATCTATTAATAGGGGAGTGTTTTGTTGCTGAAGAAGAGCTTGGAAGTTAAGAATCCTTAGAGAGAGAGAAACGCTATCGAAGGGAGAAGATAAGACTAAGGAGGAAGCTTGGAGGAGGATTTTCCAGCAATTGGGCGTCTTCTATCAATGATTTTCTTCTATCTTTCTTTGCTTTTCCTTTCTCTTACCATGGGGTAGTCTCTTAAATACTTGGATCTCTGTCCCCGAAGTCCTAATTACATTGGGTTTAGTTAGTGTTCAGTTAGTGTTCTAATGCTTCAATCTATGGATCTCTGTCCCCGAAGTCCTAATTCATGTCATGATTTGAGTTCAGTTAGTGTTCTAATGCTTCAATCTATGGTTTGGATGCTTGATATGATATTTTGCATATGTTTGCCCTAGGGTTATTTACGTGAATGATGTAATTTGCTTCCATGCTTGGGTAGAAGATCTAGAGACCTTGCTAGCTGACGAGGTGACCATCCCCTTTTAGTTAGGAGCTCCCCTAATCGATGCTAATAGGATGAGTGCATGATCATTGATTCATAAGACTATTGTGTGGATGGGTAAAACACATTTAGACGAGGTAGGAATAATCTCTAGTCGATGAAGTTGGTTGTGGTGACATTGGGCATGCAGAAGCATTTAGCAGGGAGATTAAGAGACATGATCATTGAATCGATCACCACTTCAGTGACCTTCGCACCTCATATATACATAGATTCGTATTGCTGTTTGATTGCATGCTTATCTGTTAGTTAGGATGAAGGAGGCAAGTCCGAGTGTACCTTTTCTCATGATTGCTTTCTAGTACTCTTAGTTTCATGCATTCAATGCAGCCAAAGCGTGATTCTACCTCATATCGGAAAATGGGTAAATTCATAAAGTGTAGAATCAAAGTGTAAAAGCGTAAGTTTTTTACGCATACTGTAAAATAACTAAAAAATCTGTTAAGTACGACATCTACCATGTAAAATATGAGTGTACAGAATTTAGAAAAGTTAGTAAATACCTACAATTCATGTCTAAGTTGAGCAACTCATTGAATCTTAACAATAAGTTCATAAATGTAGATTTTAACAATAAGTTACATTTCCCTCTATATGCGAATGATTTTGGGATGAGCCGAGATGGTGAATTAGATTACTCTATTAAAGTTGAGATTGCATTCAAGTAGCAGTATGTATATTTAATCTCAAATGTATCATCAAATTAGATTACATTTAAAATAGAGTTTTGACAATTAATTTCATCAAAAGAATACTCATTTAGTGAACTAAAAGCGTAAAACATTTTGATGAATTAGAAGTTTAAAAGCATAAGCTTTTAAGCTGTAAAGCACAATATACACTAAAGATTTTATATGGAAACGAAAGAGTTCTGGTCACCTAGAAATATAAAACTGTAAGCTTTTAAGTTTTAAAACGGAAGTTTGACCGCATTGCCTGCATTGTATGAATCAACTAATTAGTAAGTGGGCTTGGAGATTTGTTGTGGAAAGAGGGGCATGGTGGAGTCATCTGATTTGGGTGAAATATGGAGAGGATGGATCTGGATGGAAAATGCAATGGAGGGGTAGTACGAAAGGATGGTTTCTCTGGTACAATATTGTCAAAGTTGGTTGTTTGTTTTGGAAGTTCACTTATGTGAACTCCGGGCCATTTTCCAAGGATCGTGGCTGCTTCACGGTCCTTGGATGATTATATTTCTTATGTTCGTGTTGTGCTTGACACTTGACAGGATTCATTGGCAGGTGATCACTCGCTACAAATACAATCTGAGAGGTGGTGAACTTGAAGAGTTAAATTCATTGAAGCGGTATTTGGAGGCTATTCCCGAAGATTGGTTTGTGCACAGCCCACATGGTCTTGTTTGGCAGCACGAGGGGAACAATATCTACACGGTGAAGGAAACATAAAGGCCAATAACATAAAATAAAGTTATTAATAAACTTCAGCAAACTTACGCATACAACAATTCAGCAAACCATCATTTTGAGTACTCATCAATCGGAGTACCCACTAAATGGTCATCCAAATAAATATAATATAAAGGAAAACATAAATGAGCGATGGATAAGTTATAATCAGATTCTGACATCATAAGTAACCATAATTTTATGGAACATCCCATATATATATATGCTTCTCTAGAACTTCGATTGGATTTGCTCCACAATGCTTTTGTCCACTTGGAATGTCTTTGCAAGAATGTCGGTAGAAATGTCTGGCTTTGACCCAAAGATGGAGTTAGCTATAGTGATAACTCCTGGGTTTTGGCTGCTTAGTGCAGCAATGGCCACAACATTAGCATGCCCAACGTTGCGTTGGAAGTGAATCAACCCTATTGGAAACACGAAGAGAATCTTTGAGATAAGGTGACTATCAAGGTCTGATGTGAAGAATCCGACTTCCAGAGAGTCTTCAATGATAGTGAGAATTTCGGTGGCTCTTGGGAGACTGTTAGGAGGATTGATACTCCATGGCGCAAAGTCAATACGCACCATTGAGATGCCTAGGGTATTGAGATCAGGAATTTGAGTCACAGTGGCAGCTGTGACCACTACAAAAAAGGTAGGCAGTTGTGACGAAAACTTACCGACGACTCAAAAAATGCATCGAAAAATATCAATAATTCCGACGACAAACAATTTTCGTCTGTAATAATGAAATTACTAATGACAGAGGTGGATTTTTGTCAAAAAAGGTATTTTTTCATCAGTAAAATGTTTTTTGGTCCGATTTTCATTTTTCACGCGCATTATTTTTGACGACTTCATATTCCGCGTTGGAAATAATCAGCATTGCTAACCAACAAAAAAATGTCGTCAGAAAATATAATTATTATTGACGACAAAATAACGATCGTCAACATTAAATTATTAATTTTGATGAATTTCTTTTTTCATCATAAGTAATTAGTCAGAAAAATTTATTGTTGGCAACACTAAAAGTTCGTCAGTACTAATTGGTCAGAAAAAACATATTTGTTACGCCATTAACACTTCCTCGGTACTATTTGGTCAGGAAAAAATCTTTTTTGACAACCGTAAAATTTCGTCAGTACTGTTTGGTCATTAAAACACAATTTTGACTCAATAAGCATTTCGTCTATACTATTTGGTCAGGAAAAATTTCGTCGCCACAGTTCGTTCGGGAAAAAATAACATTTTTGACGCCATAAAATATCGTCAGCATTAAATGGTCAGAACAATACATTTTGTACGCCATACACATTTCTTTTGAACCTTTTGGTTACAAAATTGAAACCTTTTATACAAAATAAATGAAAAAACGTATATGATTATTGAATCGCACAAGAATGACATGTTTTAGAAATGATTATTGAATCAATAAAAAATCACATAATAAGCACTGTTCTATGAAAAATAGAAATTATATAATATATATCTCGATCTACAAAGACCAAATTAGTCATACTCAATCTTCGAACCCTGCTCTAGTCCAGTTTAAGAGATCATCTCCCTCGGTTTGGAGTACCCTAGGATCATCAATTAAAATATTGTCTTCTTGATAGGCTTTGTCAAATGCTCCTTCTCCTTTTCTCCTTCTCCTTCCGTATTAGATGACATCGCGAACAAATTTCTTGGTCGCGTTTCAACCACAATTTCCCAATTTGGATCTCTCAAAGATTGCACATAATAAACTTGAATTGCTTGACTAGCCAGAGCAAATGGCTCATTTGTTCTAAGCCTTCGCGTTGTGTTGATTGTAATAGTGCCATGTCCATCCTTCCTGTAACCAACGCCTTCGCGAGCGGTGTCATACCACTCACACTGAAACAATACAACGCGAAGCCCTTTAGTATAACGAAGCTCAATGATATCGGTGAGAACGCCATCGTAATGAATTCAACTATCGTTCTCCCCTCTCATGCACCATCACACCACTGTTCTGACTGCTTTTGGTTAACTCGCGAGTACGAGTGTGAAATCTGAACGATTGATACAATATCCTGACTAGTGTAGGACTCGTTTGTCTGGCTCTCGAGCTAAGGATAACAAAGAATGATTCAACCTTGATACTTTATCATTGTGCATTCATGTAATCTGCAATAATTCATAGATTTTGAAGAGGGTTCTTTACACATTCAATTGATACGTAAATAAGATAATAATTGATTTTCTTATTAGTTATTTGAGATATTTAATTTGAAATTACCAAATATCACACAGCTAAATTTCATAACCAAATTTATTGGCTACCAACCTTCCAATTTTTCGAAGCAACTAATACTTTTGGTCATATAAACCTACTGAAATGGTCACTTAGTAACAAATATTTTAAATCCAATTAAATTCACGTCACACAAAATTTGCTTTTTTCTAATAAATTTTTATTAGTTATCAAAGTTTATATTCTTTTGTTAGTGCATCAAAAACCTACATGAGGGTGCTATAGTCTCTTTAATGTCTGTGAACATATATAAACGCCTTTTAGCAATTGGAAACCCTTGAGCGGCCGCCCTTCTCCCCTCCATCCTCTGTTTTGTCCACAGAACCCTTCAACTTCCTTCTCGAGTCTTCCTCTTTCCCTCCTTATACGAAGTAAAATAACCAAAACAAAACCATTGCCATCTCACTTCTTCTTGCCTTTCTCTCAATCGCACTAAACAGAGAGCGACATAGGGAACAAATCTGGCAAAAACCAGAGACTTCCCTAAAATCGACTCGAACGAACAAATCTGGGTAAGATTTATCTGTGCATGTTATTTTTGGGGTTCGATTGTTGGTTTAGATTAGGTGGAGATAAGGTTTGACTTCGTTTTTTTTTTCTTCCCCTTTTTGCCATTATGGGTTCTAGCGGCGGAGGTGGTGGGAGCAGACGCGGATTTCAACCACAATCTACTCCTGAAGACAGCAATCTCAGATATGTTCTTCTTCCTTTCGCCTACGCACAACCTACATCATGGTCATTAAGAAAGCAGACGCGGATTTCAACCACAATCAAGGTAAGATTTGTGTGTTTCCTTTCTATTTTATGGTTTAAAATTGGTTTATGACCTCTTTTCCGTTTCTGGGATTTGAGCAACGAAGCGTAGGTATTGTCGTGACCCAAGTAAATAAGAGAGACAGCGGTCGTGGGAAGGATGGGTGGAGGTGAGGTTGAACGCTGGAAGAAGGAATAACATAGGCGGAAACCTTTCATTGAATCTGCTTCGGCATCGACAGGGAGCCGATTTAAGTAGATTTGGATTTTTTTTTTTTTGTAATTAGATCTATCCCTGCTGGCGTTGGGTTGCGTGAAACTGATAGGAGTATTATTGTTTTTTGTTTATATATCTATGTTTGTGAATGTATTGGTAGTTTTGTTAATGCAAATATGAAGATTAATAATAATTTGTACTCTTGCACTGATAAGAGTATTGTTCTTGTACTCTAATATTCTTTTTATGCATTTCGTGATTTAAATGAAAATGAAACCCTCCAATTCTAATATTAAATGAAAAAGCTTATTTTTTACGGTAAATAATTATCGTCGATAAATGTAATTTTTCCGACGACGCTTTGAAAAAAAGTAGTTCTAACAAAGGTTTGGTGGCATCAGTAAAAATAATATTTATAACTAAACCGTCGAGAATAATAAACTATTGACGCCCTAACAACCTCACAAATGTGTGTACAACGTATAAAAAAAATCATCGGCCTCATATTCTCGTTACAAATATTTTTTTCCGACGATTTGTCAACGTTAGTATAAATAGTATTTATGACGGCGACGGATGGTGAGGCGGCTGAATATGCCTTTCATTCCATTAGTGACCATCTCGTGATGCCTGCAGAGTATACCGCCTCTTCCCTTGAAAGCAACAGGCGTCTCGCTGAGACCGCCTCTCAATTCTTCTTTTCGGTAAGTTGGTGTCGTTCGGGTATATTTTACTGCGAGAATGTGTTTAGCAAGCTGACTGTGTTCATCCTGTTTTGCAGGCTCATATTGGTTTTTCGCAGGTCATCCTGTTGAACGACCGATTATCTCGGACCGTGGAGGACAATGCTGTGGAGATAGCCAAGCTGAAGAAGAGTGCTAGTGATGGGCGAGAGACCTTGATGAGGGAGCTGAGACCGCAAATGGAGCGAGAGTTTGAAGAGCGGTTAGCTAGCAAGGAAAAGGACCTGTTAGCAGAGAAAGAGGCAACCAAGGCTGTTTGTTCGGAGCGAGACCGCCTCCAGAACCAGGTGTTGAAGTCTGCGGAGCTTGAGAGGGCCTTGTTGGAAGAACAAGAGGCGCTGCGCAAGGAGTTGGACGCCTTGAAGCTAGAGAAGGCATCCCTGCAGGTGAACCGTGAGGCGGAACTGACCGCTGCTCGCGCCGAGGCCGCGCCCGCCTACCTGCAGTCAGCGGAGTTCCAGACGGCTGACAACGAAAAATACAAGACCATCGTTGGCAACGCGGTGGCCGCTATCAGGCATTTCTTTCGTCGTGAGCAACCGGGTGTGGTTTGGAACACCGACCTCATTTGGGATGCTGTTGGAGCTTGGTCCGACTCAGACGTGAATTCGGAGAAGGATGAGGATGAAGAAGAAGAAGAAGAAGAAGAAGAAGAAGAAGAAGAAGAAGAAGAAGAAGATGAGACCCGCCGAGGATGGCGCGTCTCCCCAAGTGTAAGATGTTCCGTGTATGTTTTTCAGTTTTCTTTGAGACACTTGCTATTTAAGGACCGCTGGATGTCCTCTATTTTGTGCACATTTTGCCCCTTAATCGTTGTGATGGGGGTTTTATGTTGTTTCGAATTTGGCATCGATGTGCCTTGTGAACTTGTAGCGTTCTCTTTTGCGGATTTGAAGCGTTGAACCGCCTCCGTTTGGGGCCGCGGATTGTCTCTGACTTTTAGATGTTTTGCTCGTACACTTAGCGATTGCAGTGTTTAGTAGCCTATCCTCTCGCAGCGCGATTTTGCTACCGTTAATGGGAAACGTTTTGCGTAGGGCGGGTTGGACCGCTGGGATTCTTGCTCCCTTCAAGCTTTGTTTTTACTTGAGCCCACATGGACACCTCTGAGGGTCGCTGGTTGTGGACATGACTCTTTGGTCGTGTTGGAAGTTGCTACCTCGTTAGTGTGCGCTTTTAGTTGCGCTTTAGTGGAAGGCGAGTTCAGAGGGTGTTATGTGGTGCCCCGACCTTTCGTGGCCCTTGTTAGGTGTTAGCAGAAATATGAAATATGTAAGAGTTGCGAAGGCTTGAAATTTGGCCTAGAATATGAGTGTATTACTTAAGCAAAAGTGGAAGCCTGGTGGCGACCAATACACTCTTTTCATGTGGCGGGTGTGCTGCCCTTGCCACCAAAATGACTACGATTGATTCGGAATACTTTAGGGCGCGCCCGAGTAGTACTTTCTCAGGTGCATTCCGTTCCACGTTTTGGAGACTGGGGCTCCTTCCATGGTTGAGAGGCGAAATGTGTTGGGACCCATTTTTTCTCCGATCAGGAATGGGCCTTCCCAATTTGCCGCGAGCTTGCCGTGCTCGTCTTTCCTCTGAAAGTCGCGCTTGAGGACCATGTCTCCCTCTTCAAGGGGCCGATATTTCACTCTTTTGTTGTAGGACGATGCTACCTTTGCTTTCTCCGATATGATGCGCTCCAGAGCCGCATCACGCCTGGCTTCGACCATGTCTAACTGTTCCAGTAATTTTTTGTGGTTGGCTTCCGGGTCGTATGCTTGAACGCGGAGGGAAGGTAGGTTTAGCTCTTCTGGTGCGGCCGCCTCTGAGCCGTATGTCAGAGCAAACGGGGTTTCTCCAGTGGCGGTCTTATGGGTCGTACGATGCGCCCATAAGATATGCGGGAGCTCTGATGTCCATGCCCCTTTGGCGTCCCGAAGACGCCTCCTCAGTCCTTGGAGGATAAGTTTGTTGGACGCCTCGGCCTGACCGTTAGTCTGAGGGTAGGCCACAGAGGCCATGGTGCACGTGATGCGATTTCTCGCACAAAAGTTCTCGAACGGTCTACAGTCAAACTGAGTGCCGTGGTCAGTCACAAGCGGTTTAGTGAGACGACACTAGCCTTGTGCGGCCTTCGATGGATGAGGCGGTCTCCGAAACCCTGCACAAAAGGTCCTCAGGGGGTTCCTAGGACCTCCTCCGATGCCAAAGTTAGGGAGAGAAGTGGTTGAAGTGTAAATAAGAGAGAGAGTGGGGTAGGTAGAAGTTACCATCAATGTTGCCTTTAGAGGGGTATTTATACTAACTTTGGCTGAGGGGTGTGCATTAAATGGCGTGTCAGGCGGGTGAGGGCGCCTTTGGCCTCATTAAATGCATGGTCAGAGATATGTTTCGCGGATCTCTGTCGGTCAGTAATGTCGGGCGGTCTGGCCTCCATTACCGTTCTAACTTGTTGGGCGGTCTTTTGGTTTGTAGAATATTGACCGCCCTTGGTCAGCAGGCATGCTATCATTGGGCTTCGGCCTGCCTCTGTGGGCTTTGTAGTCTATGGGCTTGACGGCCCAAGGCCTCCATGATTGGCCCAACAAAAACCTTGAACAAAATCACCAAACTTAAGGGAAAAGCTTTGCTCTATTATATCGACAAATCCCCTAAGATCATACTGAAATTAAAAAACAATGAAGCCATGAAAAGAAATTATACCAGTTCTGAGAAGTGGGAAGTCCAAGCTTCTATTCGGCATGAACACATAGATAAGCATCTTATCCTTTTCCGCGCAGAATCTCACCACCCTGACCAAACTCACATGCACTTCCATCCACTCAATCAACTGAGATGAAAGTATAAGCAACATGCCAAATCCATTATGATTGCATAAGTTTTAATACGAAAGGAAGAAAAGGCAAGCATCAATGGTTACCTGCATGGGAGAGCTCAAAGGTCCTAGTTACTGGCATTCCCCAACTGGAATGCAATAAAAGCAGTGAGTCTCATCTCCATGGTGTAAGAAGCTTCCACTCTAATCGCGTCCACCCCTTCGAATTTGATCTGAGTCAAAACCAGAGTGAAGCAATTCTCACGTAAGTTGCATTATACTTCGCTAGACCTCCAAATCTGTAGTTCCACTACCCTTGCTGGTACATCATAGTAGATCGCATACAAATTGTAGAAGCAAACCTAATGGGTAAACCATAAATCCCTAGATACAAACAAAACCAAAGCATATAACCTATAATGCTAGCGACCATTATAAGCAGAATGTGTTTCTAAATTGCTAGCGACCATTATAAACTATACTTCTAGCAAAACAAAAGAAAAGTGGAAATCACCAACATGAATCAAAATGGGCTTGCTTCAAATATGAATCGCCACTACCCAGCCAGGTTGATGTTGGCTTTTGCTTCCCTATCATGCTTGCTTCATCACCGACAGCAAATGCAGATCGAATGGCAAGCAGAAACCAAGTCATATGTGTTTATAGACCCCATAAGTTGACACTTGCAGCCAAATGCATGACATGCTTAAAATCAAGTCATATGTGTTTCTTTTCCTACTGAGTTCAAGAGTAAATGGTGTGATATGGAGGATGGAAGTTGACCTTTTGATTCTGCAAGAAGTGGAGGCAATATGAAATAGTGCTTCTGTTAGATGATGAACCCGTTCCGGTTAATTTTGTAGCTGCCACCAAGAGGAAATAATGGAACTGTTAGTATAGAAACCAAAATCCTCGACCATCATAAACTAATCAAACTCGAACTCTACGTTCGCCAATGAGCAAGGATAAATGAAAGTCTAGATTTTCAAAACACCAAACGTTTTATAAATCATCAACAGAATGTAACCTTAACTCCAAACAAATGAGTCTGTGGAAGACGTTCTAATTTGTGAATTACACTAAGGACAAGGTCCAGCAAAATGTTGTACTTCTCCACTCTGCCCTTCTTTGCCCTCTAATCACCCAGAACAACAACTCTTACTTGCGAACTTAGCATTAAGCGCTTGACTGGAAAAGTAAGCTGAAACCACACATCCAAATCGATACAAATACCCCCCTCCAATTTCATCAGAAACCAATACAGTCCAGATCCAGTTCTCCAAACTTAAGGGATAATCACATACAACGGTAACAAAAGAAAGACCAATTATGAGTTTTAAGCTAATAAGAAAGAGGGGGAAAACCGATGGCTTGAGAATGATGGGGGCGCCCTCCACGGATGCGAGTAGCTGGAGCGATTTGGAGCCAAATTATGGACAAGCTGAAGTAGAGAAGAGAGAATAAGCAGGGTTCGTGACGTCGGCAGTAGTTACCATGAAAACCCTCTCAGTGGTTTTGTTTCTTCTGTGCGTACGTCGACATCGTTAATCTTGTCCGGCATTTGTACACTGTTTGCTGCAGCAATCGACAGAGAAGATAGCATCGAATCTCTGGAGGTAATCTAGAACCTGCGGTGGAGGTGGGCTGGCTGCCGGAGATGAAAGTCGCACTCGTCAATAACCTCTCCGCCGCCGAGATCGTCCGCGGTACTCCCAATCGCGATCTCCCCACTCCCAAGGACTTCCGTCAGCGAGTGGGGTCGTCGACTTGCTTATAATTAGGTATTTCGATTTGTTTGAAATTGGGAATAGGAGGAGATTTCTTATGCGAGTTATTGTGCTTCTCGCCGGAGGGGACAACCTCAATCAAATATGTAAAACGGTTAAAGGGTAAGTAACCTCCTCTTCCATTCCTTCCGCAGATCGATTCTGTAAAAGGGTAAGCAGCCTCCTTCCTTATCCTCCCTTTCACCTTTCCCCCTCTCTCTGTAATATGCCTGCAATTGCTCTTCCCTTTCCGTGACTTTCTTCTCTCTCTTAATAACCAGTAGAAAAGGTGGGCTTATTTCACCCAAACAAAAAATAAATGAATATTATATGACAACGTGGGAAACGGAGAAAAGGTGGGTAGTGGACAGTTTGTTAGTTCTGCAATCAGGCGGGGACTCTTTTTTTTTCCCGCTTAACACTCTGCCACATCAGCTTCCTAAAATCACTCTATGGGCAGGAAAATTTGAATGGGGGGTGCAGTTTTACTTTTCAGCTATAAATTATACGGTAGAAGATTTCAACTTTGAAATTTAATTTTACGATGGCAGGGAGAGAAAAATTATGCTAGTAAACAAAATGGATATCCATCAACTAAGAGAAAGAGACAGGGACACAATTAAAGGTACAGGAAATTATAAATTATTATTAATTATCATGAGTTTATGAATGTTAAAAACCATAACTAAATGAATTATTCGTTGGTGTGGATATTACGAGTGATTGACATGAATGATTTTCTTAATATCCAATCCGAACGCGCTCGATCATATGTGCATATTCAATTTTTCTTATGAATCCTTCTTTTTATCTTAACAAATTCGACATCCATCCATACTACATAATAGTATTTTATGATTTGAGTTTTTATTTATTATTCCACTTAGAATTGGTGATTCATTATTTGTACCTGAATGTCATATGAGTAATTGTATGAATAAAATCTGAAGTAATTAAGGTAAGGTAACAAATATCAACAATCCACCCCAATCGATCCGTTTCCATCCTTACATGAGTTCATGTTAGAACTATTGAATTACCTTTTTGAATAATTTTCATTCCTTGCAAATAAGGTAATTAGGCGGGGGAGTACTACTTTCCATAAGGCCAGCAGTAAAGCGCTGTTATTTTCTAGTAGTATATATATAGTATATAGATATGTATGTGGTTAAGGTTAGCGTAGGCCAGGCGTTATATATATATATACCCAGAGTGAAATTCGGGGTACTGCATACGTTGAGTATGAAAACGCTATCTAGACCTCGAATTAGCAGGATTTTTGGGCATGATACTATACCCTAATCCTTATTGAGTGAACCCTAGGTCCTAATTATCTAAATCATAAACTATAAACCCCAAGATGGTGCATTCTTATTTTTGCCTATATTTGGACGAATCATACCCGTCGATTATTGTTTCTAATTAAATTGATTTTAGGGTATAAGATTTAGAGAAATAAGACCTAGATTTTTATCTTCAAGGGTTAGAGTATAGTATAATGTCCGAAAGATCAGTCAATTCAAGGTCTGGATAGCGTTTTCATACTCAAAGTATGCGGTACCCGCGATTTCACCCTGGGTACCGTAGAACTAGCCATAATCGTTATTCCGAGCATGTGATTCACGTCAAAACGGTGTTGATCATTGCTTATGATATTATGAACAAGAAACACATGAACTTTCAAAAAAATATTGAAAATTTACTTTAATTTGAAGGAATTAGGATTTAGGATTAGGGTTTAGGTTTACAATTTGGGATTTTGGGTTGGGATTCAATATTGAGTGTTAATGGGTTAGGATAATGAATCGATTAGTTGTGATTCTAGGTTATATCATCCTATTAGACATACTACATAATAATATTTTATGATTTGAGTTTTTTATTTATTATTTCACTTAGAATGGGTGATTCATTATTTGTACCTGAATGTTATATGAGTAATTGTATGAATAAAATCTGAAGTAATTAAGGTAAGGTAACAAATATCAACAATCCACCCAATCGATCAGTTTCCATCCTTACATGAGTTCATGTTAAAACAATTGAATTACCTTTTTGAATAATTTTCATTCGGGAATGGATCAGGTCAGTAACCTTATGGTGAGTAACCATGAGTAACCCGTCCACATCAGCATGACATCAGCATCCTCTCTCTCATGGAAAACTTTTAATTTTTCCCTTTTAATCTTTGACGGACGATTTCTCGCTCATTTTAAGTCGAAATTTAATTTTTTTTGCACAATTAGATCAGATTAATTGTGCTATTCAAAATGATATCCACTTTAATATATTTTTCGAACAAAAAAAATTGAGTCATTTTTTACCACCCTATACCATATGGTATTGACTGGTATTGAAATAAAAGCTTACCTATATTTTGAAAAACGTACCATGGTGGTATGAACAAACCAATACTGTAGGATGGTTGAATACATGATAGTAGAAGTATATTAATTGTAATTTACGACTTTTAACATTGTATACCACACAATACCACCCCGTACCAGGGTAGTATTGTATGGTATTGTGTGGTATTTTTTGGTCCTGTAATTTGTTCACCCAGAAATTTATAGATCCAATAGATCATGATGAACTCGTCCCTACTGTGCAAACGTTTTAAAAAACGAATTAAAAACGAAGAAGATACCATACAATACCACCCCGTACCAGGGTGGTATTGTATGGTATTGTGTGGTATTTTTTGGTCTTGTAATTTGTTCACCCAGAAATTTGTAGATCCAGTAGATCATGATGAACTCATCCCTGCTGTGCAAACGTTTTCAAAAACGAATTAAAAACGAAGAAGATACCATATGGTATGCAGTTAGTACCGAGAGGCCAGAATATATTTTTTCCTAAAAAAATATTGAAAATTGATCTCATTTTGTAGAGCATGGTGAACTCGTTCCATCTGTGCAAAAAAAACTAAAATCCGAGTTAAAACGAAAAAGATATGAGTCAATTAAGAAAGCTAGTGAAAATAAAAATAGTCTTTAATTCTCCATCCTTAGATCTGGATTTTCTAAATGAAGGGTCCAGATTTGGTTATTGATGGGTGCATAACCCATGGTTATGCACCCTATCTTGAGCCTTTTCATTCCTTGCAAATAAGGTAATTAGGCGGGGGAGTACTACTTTCCATAAGGCCAGCAGTAAAGCGCGGTTATTTTCTATAGTATATATATATATATATATATATATATATATATATATATATATATATTATATAGGAGAGTTCTATGTACCCATGGTGAAATTTCGGACATGATACTCTACTCTAAACCTTAAAGATCAAAATAAAGGTCTTAGTTATCTAAATCTTATACCCCAAGATCAATTTGATTAGAACAATAATCGACGGCTATGATTCGTCCAAATAGAGGGGAAAAAATCAATGCACCATCTTAGCGTTTATAGTTTATGATTTAGATAATTAGGACCTAGGGTTCACTCATTAAGGGTTAGGGTATAGTATCATGCCCAAAAATCATGTTAATTCGAGGTCTAGATAGAGTTTTCATACTCAAGTTATGCGTTACCCCGGATTTCACTCAGGGTACTGTAGAAAGCACCAGTATATAGATATGTATGCGGTTAAGGTTAGCGTAGGCCAGGCGTTAAATATATATATATACCCGGAGTGAAATTCGGGGTATTGCATACGTTGAGTATGAAAATGCTATCTAGACCTCGAATTAGCAGGATTTTTGGGCATGATACTATACCCTAACCCTTATTGAGTGAACCCTAGGTCCTAATTATCTAAATCATAAACTATAAAGCCCAAGATAGTGCATTCATATTTTTGCCTATATTTGGATGAATCATACCCGTCGATTATTGTTTCTAATTAAATTATTTAGGGTATAAGATTTAGAGAAATAAGACCTAGATTTTTATATTCAAGGGTTAGAGTATAGTATAATGTCCGAAAGATCAATCAATTCAAGGTCTGGATAGTGTTTTCATACTCAAAGTATGCGATACCCGGGATTTCACCCTGGCTAGAATCGCTCTATATTCGATTCTAGTTGTGGTAGACGGAGTTGGCATGGAGGCTGTGGTTGTAAAGGAGGAGGAGAAGGATAGGATTTTTTTGGTTAAGTGGACTTCGTGTTTGAGAGAAGAGAAGAAAGTCTTTCTCATCGAATTTTCATTTAGGGTTCAGAAAACTAGCGTGGCCCCGGCCAGTTGGTCGGAGGAAAGTGAGGTATCAAATTTAATAATGTAATAGGGTGTATAGGTTATTGTTGTATAGTTTTTTTTGGAAACACGTGATAAAAAATAGTGAATTTTAGCAGGAAAGAGACATGAATGATGCAACGAATAAAAAATCGTCCTTATGAACCAAAATCAAGTACCTGTTACCTTGTGAAACAATATTGTTTCTGGTAATATGATGAGGTGGAGTAAGTTTTATAGAAATCGAATTCCAAAAAATCGAATAAAAAATCGCTTATCCCGTCGATTTTCGAGAAATGAGCATCTCACAATCGTTGCTAGCTTTTACTTGGCCCGTTGGCCGATTAATTTTCTTTATAAACCTTTCATCTTGTCATCATTGTGCTTTCTTGTTTTTGTCAGGCCATGATAAAATCTAAGAAAATC